TCAGTGCTAGTCCCTAAGCAGATTCATTAAATGTTTAAGGGAGGGACTTCCCTGGCAGTTGGGTGGTTAAGATTCCACCTTCCAATGCAGGGGGCCCAGGTTCCATCCTTGGTCAGGGAACCAGATCCCACATGGGACAACTGATCAGAGGTCTAGATCCTGCATGCTACAACTAAGATCCAGCACAGCCAAGCAAATTTTTTAAAAAAGCTTAAAGGAGTAAGTAAACTAAAGCTCACCAAAGCTTGGTAACTTTAGGAAAAAGCAAATACAGGTCTTTCTGGCTACAAAGGCCATGCTCTTTACACTATAAATGCTATCTTGCAGATTCTCCTGAGTGTGGAGGTGGTTTTCAATGGACACGATGACCTCTTTAGGAAACTTACAGCCTTACAGCCTTTCAGTACAAACCCCAAGTTCCAACAGAAGAGACTGGACTACAGATCTCAGGCAAATGTCTGACAGCTTGAGAGGGTTCAGGAAACCAGCCTTGGACGGGAAGGAGTGATACACCTTCCTTTAAGTACCCACCTCTCCCCTCCTACCACATCCTTGAAAGCTCAAGTGAGCAGTGCTTTCTAGGTACGGCTCCCGTGCAGGCCGGCTCCTCTGGCTCTTGGTGGCAGAGGGACAAACACATTGGCCAGGGTTTAGCCAGGTGGGCTTTTCTGAGCTCAGCAGAAACATCCTCCATTCTCAGACACCATATTTGCCCCCCATGAAGACCCAATGAGAATATAAACAGAAAGGACTCCCTTCTCTCAAGTCCTAGTCCCTAACAGGTTGCTGCCCCTTCTTAAAGAGTATTGACTTGCCCACACAGACTCATGGACCTGGAGGAAGGAATTCTGAACCAACTAGGGTTTTAAGATCCTCATCATTACCAATACCTCCTCCAATTTCACCAACTCAAGGATCTCTTTGCCTTTAGAAAATTTGAGTAACTGATCCCCAAACAGACGTCCTAAAACATTTTCCCTGAGTAGCTGAAGAAAGGACTTAGCCTCTTCCCTTAAATCTGGCATCACACTTGACCCCTCCTTTCTTCCTTCTCCCACACAAGCCCATCAACAAGACTACAGGGCACCCCTAAGTTCATAACAGCACTATTTACAATAGCCAAGACAAGGAAGCAACCTAAATGTCCATGGAGAGATGAATTGATAAATAAAATGTGATATATATATTTACATTTATACACACATACATACACACACATAATGGAATACTACTCAGCTATAAAAAAGAATGAAATAACGCCATTTGCAGCAACATGAATAAACATAGAAATTATCATACCAAGGGAAGTAAGTCAGAGAAAGACAAATATCATCCTAGGATATCACTTAAATATGGAGTCTAAACATTTGATATAAATAAGCTTATTTACAGAAGAGAAACAGACTCACAGACATAGAAAACAAACATAATTACCAAAGGAGAAAGCGGGAGGTGGAACAGATGCATTAGGAGCTTGGGATTAACAAATATAAATACAAATAAAACAGATAAGCAACAAGGTCCTACTGTATAGCACAAGGAACTATATTCAGTGTCTTGTAATGAACTATAGTGGAAAAGAATCTGAAAAAAAATAAATATATATACACACACACATAACTGAATCACTTTGCTGAACACCAAAAATTAACACAACATTGTATATCAGTTATAATTTTTAAAAATTTTTTAAATAAAAATAAATAAAAAGACAACAGAGCCTACTTCAGTTGCTCCTGTCGGATATGTCTCTCCATCTGCACTGCTTCTAACCGAATTCAGGCCTCCGTCCATCTTATTGAGATACTACAGCTCCCTCACTAGTCTCCCCACAGCTATCCTTGCAAGAGCTGAAAGCATTCTCCATAAGCAGCCAGAGAGGTTTTTCAAAAACCTGTTCCCATCACTCCCTAATTAAATCGCTTCACTGCCTTTAGGTTAAAGTTCGCATTCCCTAGATGACTCACAAGGGCCTTGGTGACCTGCTTCCTGCTTGCCTCTCCTGCTGCTCCTCTCAATCCTGTCCCCACACAATCCCCCAGTCTTATTCCCCAAATGTGTTATTCTCTCCAGTCTCCAGACCTTGACATGTGTCTTACGGCCTTCCTCTTCCTCCCCTTGTCTCCACTCCACTCATCTCGCTCCCAGATATCGGTTCTCCCTCATTCCTTTCCAAGGCTGCACTAGAAGTCCCTCTTCTGTGCTCCCCGGGACCATGTCCTGGCCTCCGTCATTGAGCTTCTCAAATGGCACTGTCTTTGCCTGCTGCTTGAGCATCTCTCCCACCAGACTGTGAGTTCCTTGGGGCTGGGGTTATATGCTATTCAGTGCTGGACCCCAGCACACAGGAAGTGCTCAACAAATGTCTATTTCATAGGCAGGTGAGTGGAAGGAAAGACACAGAAGAGCTGCTTCTCCCGGGCCAGCTAAGTGATTCCTATGAGGTCCCAAGTCTCCTACTGCCGAAGCTCACCCCTGCTCCCAGTGGAACCCTGTTGAGCAGCCACAGGGACACACAAAGGAGGTGTGAACCGAGCATTCTGGACACACATCGTGTGAGAAGGAAACCCATGGGGCTGTGTCTCCCTGGGGCCCTCTGAAGAGGTTGCGGAGAAAAGGCCCCATGGCCCCCATCTGTGTGCCGAGAGGGAACAGATGGCTAGCCAGCTCCCTCAATGCTCCCTGGGGAGAGGCGACGTGTGGACACAGTTGATGGACGGCCTGATGGGCAGGGTGGCCGCCAGGAGCTGTCCCTGTGGGGCTGGAGTTGTCAGGGTTCCCCGCCCAGGAGCCTGGAGGAGGCGGGAAGACTCTTTTCTTGGCATGGAACTGGGATTAGAATCGCTGCCAAGAAAAGGAGCAGGAGTAGGAGTGGGAGGAAGAGGAGGAGATAAAGGATGAGAGTCCCAGAAGAGGCTGCAACACTCCCCCACCAGCCCTGGGGGACCGTCCCAGGACACTGGAATGCTGGGCTCGCTCTGCTCCTCTCTGCTGTGGCCCAAGTCCCCACCACCTACCCAGGTAGGAAAAGATACAGGAGTTTCTCTGAACCTGTCAGGTTTCTCTGAACCTGTCTCCTAGAGCAGACTCCTGACAATGGGGCTTTCTACTACCTCCCCTGCCCCATCCCCCAGGTAGAGGGAGACGTCTGGGCATCAGCTGGGTTTGTCCCACAGGGCCGAGAGCAAGCTGGCCTTTCAGGGGTACCTGCTGTACTGCGGGATCCCCCAGGGCCTCGACAGCTGAGTCATCCAATTCCCCAGGGAGGAGGCAGCAGCAGCTAGCTGGGAAGGGAGAGTGGCGGGGAAATGTGAGATGCCAGGATGATCCGTGTGCTATAAGGACAAAACTGAACAGCATCTGGGATGCCAGGCCCAAGGCCCCTCAGAGGCCTGTGCTGTGGTTCAGCAGGGAGCTGGCAACAATCTCCCAGAGGGGATTCATTCTTAAAGAGGAAGAAAATTCCATCTGTTAAAAGCAGCGTTACCCTGGTAGAAAGCAGAGAGACCCATGGTATGATCATGGTATGATCTCTGGCTCTGAAATAGACTACTTCCTCTAGGCTGTGGTTCCCTGAGTTCAGTCTAGTCTGATGGCTAACACATAGTGGGTGCTTGAGGGGTGTTTCTGGAATAAATGAGTTCCAGTCCTCCCCTGGATTCCATGACAGGCTCCCTCCCAACTCACGACCCTTTCCTGACTAGCAGAGCATCCTGACCCCACCAGCCCCAGGGTAGAGGAAGGTCGGGGACCTGACCCCAGTGCTTCCTGCCATAGCCCAACTCTGCTGCTCCCAGGCCCTCCAGGCCCTCCAGGCCCGAGATGCTGCCAGACTGAACAGCCAGCAGAGCGTTCACTTCCCCTCCCTGGGAGAAAGCTAGGACAGGGACTCTGCCTGCTTCCTTAGCATTTCCTCCCACTTTTGACTTTGACACATCTGGCCAGTCACTTAGTGCTGAAAGGTCCCAGCCAGGCTATGCAGTGGTCAGGCTGCAGGGACCAGATCCGGACAATCCTAAAACCCAAAGGCAGGAGAAAGGGAGGGCTAGAGCCAACTTATCCCTCATGGATTGTCTCTAGGCAGAACATTTCAAACTGATATGTAGCCACCCTATCAAAAGTCCCCTGGGGTTAGAGATATCCATTCCCCTAGAGACCTGCTCACGAATCTAATCTCAGTGTCTTCTGCTCCTATGTCACCTCTTCCATGGCTGTTTTTGTGGGCTGGATATGAGTTGAGATCTCAGGGACAGTCAGGTCATACTATCTCTGTAGGCTAGATCCCTGTTGCCTTTCCAGGGCTGTGCTTTTTCTTCTTCCAGGAGATAATAAAGACTGCTGGAGCCCAAGTGATCTTTATAAATCAGATCCAGTCACTCCCCTGCTGAAAATCCTACAATAGCACCATTTCACTGGACTAAAATCTAAACTCCTACCATTATTTACAAGGTCCTCCAAATCTGGCCCCTGCTTATCTCTGCAACCTTACCTGGTGCTCAGCTCCTCAGTTGCTCAGGGGTAAAAGGAGGCCTGCAGTCACCTCCCCAAGAGCTACTACTAAAGCAGCCACACATTACAGACGTCCCATGTGAGACCTGATTTAAAATAATTTATCTTTTCTTCACCTCCAATCCATAAAAAATGGAAATCCTTTATTTTAGTCCACATACCAGTCTGGACTAGTAGTAGTCCAGAGTGTCTCTCATAGCTAGAAGTGGCACATGTTAGCTTTCTCAATGCCTCAATTTAGGGCTCAGGACAAACAAGCCCACTCAGGTATCATACAGTCGGTACTGCAGTATATCACATCTGCTCGGGTCACTTCTCCCCACAGGCCAGATAAGTTGTCCCAGAGCCCAAGGAGTGGACCGCATCACCCCTCACACTTGCTAGGCTCTGATGATAGCTATTGGGTACCCCAACCATCCTCCCAGGTACAAACGCGGAGAGGCCAGCATACCCAGTCCCCGCTCACCCCGGCTGCCCAGGCAAACACTCACATGGGCCGGCTCCCTGCGGAGTCCCTCCACGCCCTGCAGCCAACTCTGGCTGAGTTCGCTGAGCTCTGGGATAGGCTGCACCTTGAGCCGCACGCTGTCCCCAGACTGCCGGATCATCTCCACTATCTCATCCCTGGACTTGTTCTCCACCTTGAGTCCATTGATCTCCACCAGACGATCACCGGGCACCAGCCCCAGGGCCAGGTCCTTGGTGCCCGCGCCGGGCTCCGCAAAGTGAACCACCCGCCGGTAGACCTGGCCTTCGGGCCCCCGATCCAGCATGGTGGTGCGCCGCAAGGAAAAGCCGAAGTCCCCGGTGGGCCTTCGCAGCAGTTCCAGTTCCCGGAGGGCAGGGGGTGGCGGGGGCAGCACCGGGGGCAAACGCAGGTCAGCCGGAAACCTCTTGGTCACCAGCTCTGGGGCTCGGGACCGAGGTCCTGATCGAGGGATGCCAGGGCCGGGATGCTGCGTCAGCTGTCCCTCCAGGGTCCTCACCTCTACCTGCGGAGATGGGGCGGCAGAGTGCTCCGAGGGGGTGGAGGTTTCCGACGTGCTCTCGTCCCGACTGCGCTGGGAGAAGGAGAAGCGCTTGGCGATCATCTGCGAGTTCTGCTTGGCCAGGGAGCCAAACTTGGCCGCCCGCTGCAGCACCGAACCCCGCCCGCCGCCTTCCTCGCCCTTGAGGTCGTCGCTGGAGCTGGCTGTGCTCAGGTGGCCCGAGTCCAGGACGACGCTGCCCCTGTTGCTGTCCGAGTCGATGTCCGTCAGGTGCAGGTCCGAGCCGCTGGCCACCTTGATGGGGATGGGGTTGGAGATCTCCAGGCGCGTCCTGGAGTCGCGCTTGGAGGAGCGGTTCAGGTTGAAGAAGCCGCGACGCAGGCTCATCTCTTCCAGGCTCCGCAGCTCCGCCGCCGACATCCGCTCCTTCTTCTCCTTCTTTTCCTTCTTCTCCTTCCGCCCGCCATCTTTGTCCTTGTCTTTCTTCATGAGGTTAAACATGGTGGGGGCGCTGTTTCCAGGGGTGGCACCCCCAGAGGATTGCAGGTGCTTAGCACAGGGCCTTTGTGCCCCGCCCTTGCCGCTGCAGACAGAAACAGAGAGAGGTTATTTCAGCAGAGCCCAGACGTGGCCAACCAGTGGGCACAACTGCCCCTCACGAGGGCCAGCTACGTGCCAGAGGCGCTGCCCCACCCAATACTGTCTCGAGGTGACCCTCCCAACACTGCTATGGGTGTTCTTGCTGTCGTTGGTCAGTCACTCGGTCGTACCCAACTCTTTGCGACCCCATGGACTGCAGCACACCAGGCTTCCGTGTCCTTCACATCTCTCTGAGTTTGCTCCAACTCATGTCCATTGAGTTGGTGATGCCATGGCTAGGTCTATCCTTACTCCCATTTTACAAATAAGGAAAAGAGATAAGTTTGTAGAAGACCAGACTCCAAAGTCTATCATTTCCTGTAATCCCTGATAGACCCACGCTTAGGTGTACACAGCGGTGGCATCTGGGAGCTCTAACCTCCTGGTTAAGAGGAGGGGCTTCCCTGGTGGCTCAGGGTAAAGAATCCGCCGGCCAATGTAGGAGACGCGGGTTCAATCCCTGATCCAGGAAGATCCCACATGCCACGTGGAGCAACTTAGCCCATGCACCACAACTGTTGAGCCTGTGCTGTAGACCCTGGGAACTGCAACCACTGAGCCCATGTTCCGCTACTACTGAAGCCCCGGGGCCCTAGAGCCGGAGCACCCTAGAGCCCTAGGGCCCAGATCCCCAACAAGAAAAGCCACCACAATGAGAAGCCTGAGCACCACAACTACAGAGTAAGCCCCCACTCGCCGCAAGTAGATAAAAGCCCATGCAGCAATGAAGACCCAGCATAGCAAAAACTGAGTCAATAAATAAAATTATTTTTTTAAGAAAAGGACGCCATCAAGCCAACCTGGGACCTAACGTAAGATTCAAACACAAAGGAACAAGGCAAGTGACCTCCCACAGCCACAGTCCATTAAGGCACCAGACATCACATGCTCCTGGGCTCGTTCCTAAACCTGCTACCCCTGAAGCAGCAGCCTGAGCCACCGCTGGACAGATCTCAAAGAACCAACACTTATTTAATGACTGCCACTCACCAGGCATAATGCCAGACCCTTTACACTATCTCATTTGAACCTCACAGCATCCCTGCAAGGCAGGTATCATTATCTCTACTTTGCAAATGAGAAAACGGGGCTCTGAAAATTAAGTATATGTTAGTTGTCACACAGCTAGTAGGTGGCAACTGCAGGATTCAGTGGCAAATGTTGTTTTCTTTCTAGGGCCTGGGCGCCCACAGTGAAGCAGGGAGGGAAGTAAGGGGGAAGTTCCAGACTGAACGGAGGACAGACAGCTGCAAGGTGGGGGTGGGGTGGGGTCTGCTGGATAAACAGGATCCTGAAAAACTCACATCCTTTTCCCCAGACCGACACCTAAATATAGCCTTGGGAAGTAAGTTGCGGCAGCCGGAGAGAAAAACCTAGCTCCAGAGCTCTAGTGTTTATGGTACCAACCTCCTCCCATCCCCAAGCACACCCGACTGGGGACAGGACCAGAGAAAAACCTGGTGGGGGTGGAGTTGAGAGAGCTTTCCTTGTTCTAACCAGCAGAAAACAAGAAGTAGGCCATATCACCTAATTAGAAATTAAATGTAATTTTTTCTCTCTCCATGAAAGCTTCCTGCTCTGAGTTCTAGACCCAAGACCTACAAGCTTACTCTCTGCAGCAGTGAGCTCTGGCCAAGCCCTGGAGACACCCTTCCTTTCAGTGTACCCCATCCTCACAACCAAGAGGGCCTTCCGGGCTCCCCATTCTACTGAGAAGGATTCCCAGCCCAGGTACAGTGCCTAGGAAGGTTTCAACGGCCAGGAATGCCCAAGGGCCCAGGGGTGCTGGTTGACTGTTTCTGCTCCACCCAGCTCCCTGACCCATGTGGCTCCTGAGAGATCTTTGTATCTTTTCTAGAGCAGCACTGTCCACGAGAAATATAATTCAAGTCATATATGGAGTTGTAAATTTTCTAGCAGCCACATTAAAAAAAAAAGGGTAAAAGGAAATGGGTAAAATTAACAATACACTTTATTTACTGTAAATATATCCAAAATATTGACATCTCAACATGTTATTTATATAAAAATATTGAGATATTTTACATTCTCTTTTCCATATTAAGTCTTCAAAATCCAGTGTGTGTTTAGCATTTAGAGCATGTCTCAATTCAGACAAACCACATTTCAAGTACAGTAAGTCACCCTACATATGAACAAATTCTGTTTCAAGAGCATGTTTGTAAGTCCAATTTGTTTGTAAGTCCAATTTGTTCACAAGTCCAACAAAGTTAGCCTAGGTACCCAACTAACGCAATTGGCTATGCAGTACTATATTGTACTAGGTTTATAATACTTTCCACATAAATAATATGTAAATTAAAAAAAACACACAAAATAAAGAAAACGTGTTTACTGTTACAGTACTGCACCTTGAAAAGTATAGTAGTACAATACAACCATCAGCTGGCATATAGGGGCTGGAACACACATTTGTGTCTTTGAAAGTTTGCAACATGAAGGTTCTTAAGTAAGGGACTTACTGTATGTGACAGCCCTGTGTGGTTTGTGGCTATCAGATTGGGCAGCATAAGCCTAGAGAATTCTTCTGTTGTACAGCATATCCAAAGAGGTGGGAAATCTGGCCATCAGCTCCCTGTGGACCTAGCAGGTACCCTTCTCCCCCTCTGACCTCAGTTTCTACCTGACAAAATGAAGTTCCCTTTCTTTAGTTCATACTGCTCCATGCATAGTACCTGGGGGTGGGAAGCCAGGAAATCTAAGGGCCCAAGAAGTACAAACCCAGGAACAGCCTTGGCCAGCAGCTGCACCTGGACTGAGATAGGGTAGCGGAGTGCCTGGATCAGGCACTGTCTCTTCAGGGCTCTATTTCAACATAGCGAGTCTCCCTCTCCTCCTGAATGCTGATGGGGGTGTGGACAGACCTACCATATATTAGGATGAAGGATTTCTGGCTAATCACTGCCCATCTTACCTCTCACCCATCACTACCTGCATGCTCTTAAAAGGCTAGCTTAGAAGATGGTTCCAGAGGGACGTGTGGGGGAAATGGGGAAAGAAACCCACCTTGGGGACTTGGAGGGAACAAACCAGTATCTCAGCCCCAGTTCAACCACAGAGAACCCAGCTGCCTCCAATGCTGTCCCACCAAGACACCTTTTATGGTCTCCAGTTCTCACTCTGCAGTCCTTACCCAATCCTGGCTCTTTGCTGGGGGCTAGGTATCTGAGCAGTATCAACGGAAAACAGCCCCCAGAATTCTAGAATCTTTGGGCTGTCTCGGCAAAAGCTTGTCCCTCACTGTCATTGCAGCCGGCAGAAACCGCAGACGGTCACAGCAGAGCACAGGGGGATGGTGCTGGCAGGAAATGTTAGAAGATCTGGTATCTAGGCCTGGATCTGCCAACAAATCACTGGGGGACCTTGAACCTGTCACTTTGCTCAAGGTTGGACGACATGATCTAGGTCTCTTCTAGCTCTAAAATTCCAAATATCGAAGTCTCCTGTGGACACAGGTTATTTATTAACTTTCTGCCAAAGTCACCGCTCTCTCATCCCAATCCTTGTGGCCTCTGGAGACTAGATCCATTTCAGCCCTTCTCTCATCACCCCCTGTCCTGCCACTGTTATCTGCACAGCTCACAAGATCCCCCCTCCTCACTGTTGTCCCTCCAATCTCCAGGCCTGGCTGTGGCCTGGGTTCTCTCCTGTGCCCCACGTTTAGAGCTACTGGCAATGTCCCCCTCCAGGGTCAGACCTGCAATACAGCTGCAGCTAATCCTTTATGTCTCAGAGCCTAGTTCGCCAGAGACCTGGGTTCTGTCAACTTCCTATAGACCTTGGACTTTGCTATAGCTCTTGTCCTCAAGTTCAAAATCTCTAGTAGCAATGATATCATTACCTCCCCACTCGTTTCAGGCTGCAGTTTCTACCGACTTCCCCTTCATCTCTCACTCCCTCCAGTGAAGATAACTTTTTTTTGATCCACTTCTCTGCTTTTCATCCCTCACCCTACTCCAGGAGGTCTTTCCTAATTTTAAGTGGAGGAAAGGTATGTATGAAAATTAGTATATGTACCTGAATCATCTTGACCCTGTGTGTGTATGTGTGTGCTCAGTCTCTCAGCCATGTCTGCCTCTTTGTGACCCCATGGACTTAGCCCGCCAGGCTCCTCTGTCCATGAGATTTCTCAGGCAAGAATAATGGAGTGGGTTGCCATTTCCTCCTCAGGGAATCTTCCCAGCCTAGGGATCAAACCCACGTCTCCTGCATTGGCAGGCAGCTTGTTTACCATTGTACCATCTGGGAAGTTCTCCATGTTGACCCTACTATCCCCCAAATCTAAGCAAAATACCATTGACTCAATCAACTCAGCTGCTTTATCACATTAAGACATAAAGCATTTTGAAGACAAGGACCATTCAATTCAAATATGCATGTATCCGGCTTCCCAAGTGGTCCAGTGGTAAAGAATCCCCCTGGCAGTGGAAGAGACACCAGTTTGATCTTTGATCCCAGAAGATCCACATGCCATGGAGCAAATAAGCCTATGCTCCACAATTATTGAGCCTGTGCTCCAAAGCCCAAGAGCCACAACTACTGAAGCCCTGCACCCTAAAGCCCATGCTCCACAACAAAAGAAGCCATCTCAATGAGAAGCCCGGGCACCGCAGGTAGAGAGTAGCCCCTGTTTGCCACAACTAGGGAAAGCCCAAGTGCACCAACAAAGACCCAACACAGTCAAAAATAAATGCATAAATAAAACTTAAAAAACAAATATGCATCAATTCAATTTACAGGGTCATATGATGGAATACTACTTAGCAATAAAAAGGAAACAACTACTGATACACACAACAAGGATGAATCTCAAAAACATCTCTTGCTGCTGCTGCTGCTAAGTCACTACAGTCGTGTCTGACTCTGTGCGACCCCATAGACAGCAGCCCACCAGGCTCCTCTGTCCCTGGGATTCTCCATCTC